AAGAAACTCTATAAATATTTGTTAAACTTAAAGATGGAAGAGGAACAAGTAAAAGAAGCAATGATAACATGGGCAAAGAACTTTGGACATAATATAGAATTAGAAAACTGGCAAAGATTATGGGAAAGAAATGCTAAATTAACGAAAGCGGTGGCTTACAAAGAAAACTTATACAAAATGTTTTACAGATGGCATCTAATACCGGTGAGATTAGCGAAAATGTTTAAAAATACATCAACCAAGTGTTGGAAATGTAAAACAAAAACCAGGTACTTATTATTGTATCTGGTGGACATGCCCTAAAGCTAAAAGATTTTGGTCAAAAATACACATATGGTTGGAAAAAAATGACTAAAAAACATATAGATTTCAAGTCAGAACTGTTTCCATTAGCCATAATAGGAGGAAACTACGAGAAAGATTGTATATATCTAATTTTACATGTATTAACTGCAGCAAGAATTGTATTTGCCCAATATTGGAAAAATGAAAACTTACCAACGGAAGAAGAACTAATTAAGAAAAATTTAGACTGTGCAGAAATGGACAGATTGACATTAAAGATAAAAGAGAAAGAAGACTCAGTGTACTTTAGAATAAGTCACTTTTTTCAATGCCATTGTAATGTTGAACAATCACTAAATTAACTGTTGTAAGTTGAGGACTATCTTACATGCTGCCCAACTCCCAGCAATTCTGGACACTTTATAAATGTTATTATAATTAAGTTGTAAAATTAAACATTACATTTTGTCTCAAGGCTTTCCTCATTCATTTAGTACTTATTCAATATTATACGCATCACAAGAAATTATTGGGTTTGGATAACTGTTTGATTTTTTCCCCTTATATAAGCTGCCTGTTATCTATATTTGTAAATCTTCTATGGAATGTTTAGCAATGTGCTACAGCAATGAGGGTTGCCTTGACATTGGTGGCATTGACTAAGCACAGCTTGAAAAAATAGTTTCCATTACATCCTCCAAGTCTGATTAATTTTTCCTTCATCCAAGGATGGTTACACTATTTTTGAAATTCAGAACAGGCAAAAATAGTATAGGAATGACAAACAAATTGAACTGTTCCTTCATTATCACCTGTAATAGTTTCAATCTGGTTGTTTCCCTTCTATTCTAACAAAGTATATTTATGATATACTATAACTTTTTATATCTTTTCCCTGTTTGTTAATAATGTTTCAGAACAATACATTAGTCTCAATTCATCTTAAACTTTTCATTATCCAGTTATCTGTCATTTGGGGAGAGAATAAATTAATAGCACCTATCTTCCCTTGTTAAAGAACTAAAGGGAAAGTTATGCAGACTGAATTAGTATTCTATCTACCTTTCTTCAAACTTCTGCTAATAGATCTGCAAAAGTCACAATGGCAGTTGATATAATAAAGCTTTGCTTGACGAAAACTGCTGCATTGTGAGTTTGCACAAGAGCACAAGTAACATTGCTAGGGCACCTAGAAGAAACAGAAGGAAGTAAAAGGAAATGGGAAGCAATCCAGAAAAAAATCAGAACCTGAGAATAGGAGATCCTGCTCATCTAAGTAATCAGGAGACTTGTAACAGGACTGTGTTCCCCCAGATAGGCCCTAGGATGCTTAAGACTTTAAGTGTTAACATCATCGCCTTAAACTCTGACAGTAGACAACTGGCAATCAGTGAGATATTTTAGTACAGGCATCATATCTCTGCACCTTGCACCTGTCAGCAGCCTAGTTGCTGCAACTTTCAGGGACAGTCTAATATAAAGTATGTTGCAGTAGTCAAGATGAGAATTAACCAGGGTTGTGTGGATAACTATCACCAAGTCCAAGAAGTACTCGCAAACTCCAAATCTGCTCTTTCTGGGGAAATGCAACCACATAAAAACAAGGATTCATCTCATTCCCTGAGTCCAGCTTCCTCCTTACTATCAGTACCTCCATCCTGTCTGGATGTAATCTCATTTGTTTTCTCTCATTCATCCCATGATCAAATTTTAGCAACATTCAAGGATGCTAATTTCTTTCTTGAAATTAGGCTGTGTGAACCAATAGAGCTGTATGTGTATTTAGGATTTCAGCTTTTCCTGCAGTATATTAAAGATATGCTTCTAACTGTAGAAAGAGCTTACCGGTGATATGCTTCCCGACGGTACTTTTTCAGAGCATGGCCATCCATGTTTGCAGGAAGATCTGCTGCATTTTGTAGCCGGTCACTCCATGAAGTAGTCATTTTTACTGATTGATTTTCTTTAAAAGTTAATAAACTATGGGGGGAAAAACAAATAAAAAACTCTATTTAACACAAATACACATTTCTGAAGTGTTGTCTAATGCTTTCTTTTTAAAGACAAGAGTATTTGGGAATGTCCACAAATACCTGATAAAAACAATTTAAATTAGCTAATTCAGAGGTCCCCAACCTTTTGGGCACCAGGGACTGGTTTCGTGGAGAAAGGTTTTTCCATGGACTGGAGGTGCGTGGTTTGTGTGCTGCCTGCATCCAGTGGATGGGGCTTTGCTTATTTGTACGGACCGATGATTGGCATGCCATGGACCAGGGGTTGAGGACCCTGAGCTAGTTAACTAAAACACAAGAAAACCTAGAAATGTCAGCAAACTTTTGGAATTCATACTTCAATGTGTTAAGCCTTATGATCAGTATATCTAAAAAAAGTATACTTGTCTGGAAACCTATATGTAAAAAGCATTTACAGTATATTGTTCTTAGTTATCCTCTTATTTCTTAATCTCATGGTGAATCATAACTATTTCTTCTGAAATTTTATTTCCTCTAAATATATGATTGCTTCTTTTTAAATGATGTCAAAGATAAAACCTAAAAATAAGGTTGCCTGAACTCTCACATACTTTTATAAGTCAGTGGGATAAGTACATAACAGTACAGGCGGGCAGCCAGTTAAAATTCTTAATTATAAGCTACTGTAATCCATGGCACCTTTCTTAAATTACAAAAATCTATTTTAAAGTTTATGCATCTGTAAATAGCTTCAGATAAATACAGAAATGTGTAAACATACTAATTAACTTGGCAATTTATTTTTATTGCATTGCTTTTGACATTATCACTATTAAATAATTGATTCTTCCTTCTGTAAAATATTTTCAGAGATTTTTCTATCGTTATCTACTCAGGTATTACATTTTTACTAAGTTAATAAAATGTATATGCCATTGTTTATATATGGAACACATATATAGATTATAAAAATGGAATAATATTGTTAAAAACTTTTCACTTTGTGACTTATTTTGTTCAATCTGTACAGCATTTTATACAGATCTAAGAGTCAAAAGCTGGATATAAATGGCTTCAGATTTTGTCTTCTACATTTTATATTATGTTAAATGTTTTTTTAGCTCATTGGAGAAATGGCAAAGAGCATGTCTGTTTTATGTTTACAATGAAACCTCATTTTAATAGACTGATTGGGGTGAGAATCTATGCATTACTAAGAAAAGTCTGCTGAAATTGGAATTAGAGCATTGCAAGGATTTACATTATTTCTGCCAATTTGCATATTTTGTATAATGGTATTATTGCACAAATGAGGCAAATCACAATAGAAATTTGGTGTGTTACATGCAAAATCCATTGCACTGAGATCCAGTAAACAAGGTTTTGCTGGACTTGCTCTTTTTAGTAAGTATGAATGCAATATTTTGATCTGACCAATTACTGGAATCAAGTAGTTCTTTTATAATGAGTTTGCAGAACAAAAAATCAGATATGTTATATTGTGATAATTTGTAATAAATCCAAGTCACACAATCATAACATTCTTATTAATATTACTATAATGTACAGTGATTGTAACATTAAAGGTATTAAGAAATACCCCCTACATTTGTGAGACTTCTCACATTTGTGGATCAACAATTTCCAAACACAAATTCAGAGCAGTGAAAATTGCTTTGCTTACTTCACAAATAATCTCAAAGATAGAAAATTTTATTTTATCAATTTATTTACTTTTTTCAATACTAATTCAAATGCCAGAAGCTTTAAGAATGTTCAGCCTATTTCATCACAGCAGGAGGTAACATGAAAAGCAAGGGAAGGAGAAAGAAACAAAAAAAAGATGGGAAATACCCAAGTGAGAGACTTAAGCTGTCTACTTAAGCTGTCTACTATTCGACAACTTATATATTTAACGTAAATGCCAATATAAATTATGGCACTGGACTCTTATTCAATTAATAAAGTTTTGTAACCTTTACACTATCATTTAGGAATAATATGAAAAGCACTCATAACTTTACTGGCCAGATCACAAATATTCTCTCTGTGTCACTATATTAAACAGATACAATAACAGAAACTAGTTAAAGAAAAAGGACACAGCTATGTATCAAACACATTAGCTGATTGGTTCACATGACATGCTACTCCCCTATAAAAGGTTAAATGGGGTTAGATCCACCGCCAGCTGTTGTAAAGGGAAGAGAATGGTTTTTAACCACATTTGGAAATTTGCCTGAGGCTAGGCATGTTATTTGCCAATTGTTGAATTCAAATTCCAATTCCGGAAACAATAATACTTTAGCTCACATTAACAGATGCAGTATCAGGAAGGCCTCCTAACTTGGCTAAAGGGCAGTAAACTACAGGGAATCGTGAAAAAACAAAAGAGCTTTAGATGTACACACGATACAACAATTTTGAACATAAGAATAAAATCATTGGTAGAAAATGTGACGTGTTCCAATAAAAAAAATTCTAGGTGCAGATTTTAATACATTGGGATCCTCCCCTCTTTTCCATATAGGCACCCATACAAATATATGACATAGGATTTAGCATATACAAATTATATATTAAAAGATGTTAGCTACAGGAAGCACAATACTGATCTAAGATACTATTATAAAAATTACTAGGTTCTTCCATATGGAACACTTCTTTCCTATGTTCTAAAATCTTTTAGTACTGCTGTTAAAAACTAAGGAACCAAGCATTGTAACCAATCTCAACATTCAGAGTAACCGGGTATGCTAATTTGTGTTTTTCAGCAACAAAAACAAAAAAGGGGCAAAGATACTGCAGGTTATTTTACCATACGGGACAAGATCCAGAAAAACAAGTGTTTTTCAAATAGTTATTATTCTTTTAGTAATTATCTATGTAGTCGTATATATGGCTTTCTGCACTTGTCTAAAATCTCATTAAGAAAGTTCCAGAAGCAGGAACTTAACAGGGACCTCTCCTTCTATTCTACCTGCATATCTCCAATATTGAAATTCCCATACTTCCCAGTTTCCATGGAAAGCTACAGTGATCAAGAAAAGCTACACAGAAGCCAACTTCACAGCAATGGACTATTTTTCAGTTCTTTATAATGGACAATGTAAACATGGAGGGGATTTGTTAATAAATGACAGGGTTTCAGAGAGAGATAAACTGGAGTTCCAATATTTATCTATAGACTTGAATGGTCAGGAGAGAGGACATTAAATTGAAGGGATTGTCTTCTAATGAAAGTAGAAAGCCTGTCAATCTTCTTGGGATAGCAAAAGGTATATTGTTGTAGTCAGTGATTATCTGATAAGATCGGAACTTCCATGATGATGTCTTTTTTTAAAAAAATGAGATTTACATGTTCAATGGTGGTAATGGCAGAACACAGCAAACTATGTGGGAGAATGATGAATACAATTGGATAAGTAAAGTAGGCATACAACCCCTGTGACTATGAAGCCATGCAAGAATTGAAGTTAATCTGAAAAAGATTCAATGAAAAGCATGGATCTACATCTCAGAATGACAAGATAGTCAAAATTTATCATTTAGCACAGTGATGGCGAATCTTTTAGAGACCGAGTGCCCAAACCGCAACTCAAAACCCATTTATTTATCGCAAAGTGACAGGGCTGCATCAGCATTGTGGTGCCCTTGGGGGGGGGCAGGGAGGCGCCTCTGAGTGTCGCCTCTGGCATGCAAAAATTGGGGGCGCAAAAATGGGCCATGCTGCAAGGCGCAAAAATGGCCGCCGCCACACTGTGGGGTACAGATACAAGGCACTACATCACGGAAGGACAGGACAGGGCTAGTGAGTATCACGCAGGCACTAGCCCCACCCCATTTGCAGAACAAAATGCTTTCCCCTCCCTTTTCTTCCAGTCCAACAATGGTTGGTGACCTCTGCTCTACCACCTCTACTCAAGCTTGCTAGTCGGCCGTTTCCCCTTCTCCTGCTCCAGGCGGCGGTGGCGGCCTGATGCACCTGCTGCTGGCGGTGGTGCGCGTGCCAACAGAGAGGGCTCTGAGTGCCACCTCTGGCACGCGTGCCATAGGTTCGCCAGCACTGATTTAGCATGTCTCATGCTTTATATAATCTTGGTTATAACTCTGCAGAGGATGGAGATCCCAATCTGATTGATGATTATCAGCGCTAAAGAGGAGGCACAAATTGTTCCCTTATTGTTCCATGAATGCCACTGAAAAAGTGGAGATGATCCTAAAAAAGTTGGAACAAAAGCTCAAGAAAAAGAGGGTGGTACTGTGAAATTCAATTGAACTGGTAATCTCATCAATATGAAATATATAATATCAATAAATACTTTGTCACTATTTGTGAAGTTTGTGCAGACTACAGGAAAAATAGTTTAAATAGAGAGGCAATAAGAAAAACATAAAAGGAACAGCACTGCAATCAATATCAAAAAAAGAAAGAAAATGAAGATTATTATTTATTATTGTTCAAGAACTTAGTGGAAAGATTGACAGTTGCAATTTTATTCATATAATAAAAGTTTAATCTAACCAAGTTCGATTTGCTCAGTCTGAGTCTGTGTGTTTATGCATGCATGCATGATGGCTCTGCAAAATGTTTCAAAGAGATGTTTCCCACAAATGGAAGTGTATATGAAACAGCTCTTTTAAAAATATTAAAGCAGTTGTTTTAACTCTGGAAGCAGCTTTTGCTGCCTTTACATCCATGTGCATGCATTTTGCACATGGGAGACAATCAGGAGCAGCTTTCAAAGCCATTTTTTTGAAACAATGTGGCTGCTTTAATGATTCAAAAAGAACTGCTTCACATTTGGGGTACACATTGTGAAGTTTCTCTTTCAAAAGTCTCGTGCTACATTGAGGGCGGATCTGTTCGGTTCATCTTACTCCATACAAGTTGGGGGGAAAGTAGTGGAAGATAGAAGAGTCTCTGCAATGGACAAGTTCATCAGCTGAGATCACAATTTCCAAGAGTTCTAATCCACATGGGTTGAAGAGG